GATTTAAAATTGGTTAAAATGTAACATAGTGAATGTATCAAGGATCACAATCATCACTTTGAATACGAATGGTAGCACGCAAGTCAAGACTGCATTTCTGCAATTTGAAAGAAAATAAGAGCGACTAAACAAAAGAACAAATAAGAAATAATAAAATAATAAAAAGTTCTACTGGGCTTGTGATAAATGTCTTGAGTCAACACCGATAAAAAAATTTTATAACAAATAATTTGGGTATTTGGGCAGGACTAATCTATACCCATCCCATATTGATTCCATCCAATTAATTTTCAAAATGAATATAGGTAGGGATGGACATGAACTCATATTTTGGAATCCTATATTTAGCCAAAGTAAATCCTGCCTACTCTACTCATTTTGCCATCTCTACACATACACTAGGAGTGTCGGCATCCAAATCTGACTAAATAAAGTAGTAAAATAAAGAAAATGTGATCAAACGTTTGGATAGCAATATACATGCGTGTGTGTGTCTATATATAAATAAATAAATAAACAATCCCTTAATATCATGGAAGAAAAAATAAATTCAAATTAAAAGAAAAGAATCAAGTGATAACTACTAAAATTAAATAAACGGAAATATTTTTAAAAAAATTGCCTGCGCCTCATCACAATTACCAACATGCTCTTTCTACCCACTTTTCCATCCAATGACTATATATTAGCTGTAATACTGAAACCTGGTATTGAATTTCAAAATTGTTCTTTTCTCTATAATTTGATGTTAAGTGTTTGTTCTTATTTCCAATAAAATGTCTTTCTTTTTTTTTAAGTGTTTGTTCTTTTTCTCCAAATGGGTGTTTTTGTACCCGAAAGGAAAAATTAAATCTTGGAGGTGGATTAAAGTTAATATTTTATTCTATTTAAAAAATGAAATTTGAATATTTGCATATACACGTGGAAAAGCGCTTTTCATGTCCAATCGTAATATTAGTGGTAAATCAACTAAATTGGTGCTTCAAACATGACCGTTACTCGAGTTTTGGTTATCTTAGTCGTAACCTATAAGTCCAGTTGAAAATTTAACTCAAGTAATTTAGTGATTTAGATTTCTTTCCTAGAATACCCTTAACTTTGAAACTTTAAAGAAGTTTTTAATTTTCAAACATGAATACTTAATTATACATTGAGGCTGCACTCCCACCCTGAAAGGGTGGTGTAGTTTGAAAAAATAATTATACATTGGGGCTTACAATGTTTTAACAAATACTTGAAAATCCGTAAATTCCTGATCCTCTTGCTATAAAAAAAAAGTACTAATCAATTTTCTAGACAAGTTATCACATTCTTTAATTTAGGAATCAGAGATAAGCCAAATGTTTAATGAAAAGGACTTTAGATTAATTGCTAGGTGATAGGGAGCTTTTTCCTATATTTTCCCTCACAAAATTATTTACTCCTTTTTTTAACGAATTATCCTGGTATGCACCGTGAGAAGAAATCTTTACAACATGCAACGCACGTACTCTTAATCTCATACCGGTTATCTCAGATGTAAATCTAAATAATTAATTGACTAAATTGGTTTGGAAAATTTTGAGCTTCTCGTGTATATGTTAACTTTGTGTTTTACTTGTGGTTTGATCATAGTCTTAGTTTAAGTTGACTTATCGACTCAAATTAAAGTGAAACTTTAATCGTACAGTTCAGATTATAAAATGGAATAATTTTAAAAACCTCCATGAGGTTTTTTACTATTGCATTTAGTTCCCTCAAAGTTTTAAAAATTACAATTACCTCTCTTGATTTGACACTTTAGTTACCAAACCTTAGAATAGGGTCAAAAATTGAATGAATATTCTAAAATTCCCTTATCTTATAAAGTTTAATTTATTTTTCTAGACAATTGTAAAGTAATTTAGCACAATTATAAAAAGAATATTTTGTTTGATGATACAACAATAAATCTTTTGCTATAATTGGCTACTTTTCATATGCGTTAATAGAGATATAAATTAGTTTTAAGATAGAGAAGAAGGTGTTATCTTATTTTTTTCTTTTAAGTTTATAGACTATTTTTTTTCTTGAAGAAAAGTTTATGGAATAGTTTAGTGATGGAACTACCATAGTTTGGCAGAAATTTGGGCCATTTATTTTTATTTATTATTGATTTTGATACAAAAAAAAAGAGCTACAAAAAAAATGGATGATATTAAAAGTTATAAGGAAAAATATTATTAGTTTAACATTTAATGAGGATAGAGGTTAGGGACAATATTTATAGTTCTTCTACATTTCTAATGAAATATAAGAGAAATGAAAAAGAAGGAAAAAGGAAAAAAATTATAAAATCCATCCTTTTTATAAACATAGCAACAAGGAAGTTTTATTAAAATATTATGTTAGTATTATCATTTTAAATTGGCAAGGGAGGTAGGTGTAATTTTTGAAACCTTAGAGTGCTAAGTGAAATCATCAAAAATCTCAGGGGGTAAGTTTCTGAAATTATCCCTTATAAAATTTATGTTGATTTTTATGCAGTGTAAAGTTTACAAAATAGTCGTCAAAATTTTCATTTTGAGAATAAAAGATTTTACCGGTTGAAAAGTGCCCCCACTAACAAAAGTTTCTGGATTTGCCACTGCTTAGATCTCGAGCATTTAATTGCAATTGTCACCTACTAGAGGTGGAGGATGGCGGCAAATCCATGGCCTGTTGGAGGATGAATGGCAATAGTAAAATTGAACAAAAATATTATTTTAAAAAGAAAATGAAGTTTTAAACTTGTCTGGAAAAACCAAAAAAGGTGTGTTTGGATTGGAGATTATTTGAAATATTATTTGAAATAATTATTATAACATTTTTTATGATGTGATATATGCGAAATAAAAAGTTAATTGAAAAGATAAAAAAGTGTGTTAGAAAATGTATTTGTGATGCAAACAAATAATTTTTTAATTAATCTTTCCTATACTGACAGTGTATATACACTGTTAGTATTGGATGATGCAAAACTTAAATTTGAAATTCAACTTTTGCTCATATATCATGAATCCAACAATGATAACATATACATTGTCAGTGTATATAAGATTTACTCATAATTTTTTGGTAAAAAATGACAATCCAAACAAGGACAGAAGATTATTTGAGATATTATTTGAAATAATTAATGTAGTATATTTTGTAATGTGATGCATATGAGATAAAAATATTGTTAAAAAAATAAAAAATTGATTGGGAATTGTAACTGTGATGTAAGCAAAATAATATTCGGCAAAATAATGGCTAATGTATGTTCGCGGATATATAAACTACAAAGATGAAGGTTGGTAGATTTCAGTAATTTACCCTTGTTCTTTTCACTGCAGAATCCAAAATAATAGAATTACTGGAGGAACTTTAGCATATGCTGCCACAGGCCTAACAACATTTGTTAGCCTGAGGTACTAAGAGTCGATCAATTCAGAAAAGTTTAAGCACTACTGTCATTTTTATTGAGCAAATTCAGAAACATTTTCTGATTAACGATACTAATGATCCTTCGAAAGCAGAAACCTGCATAAAATCCAGTTGTAATCAGCATTCCGTATTGCAGATACATGTAGTTGATTGCCTGCCATATACTTTTTAACAAGCAAGATTTACTGTTCAATTCGCAGTTTCCATTTTGAATCAGAAATAAGAAATGTGGATGGCTGTTGTCACTTACACACACACACACACATTCACTTGATAATGAGCATGAACATTCTCTAGAATTATATACCTGACTTTTCATCAGTTGACCAAGTTGTATATTCTCCCCATTACACCTACTATGAATATCATGTGACTGACCTAACAGGATCATGGATTTCAGGTTCACTATCTATATAGGTAATAGCTATACTTCATCATTTATCATGCTATGAATTGCCAAAACCTTCAGGCCATATACCTGCTTGATGCAAGGAGCTCCTCAGAATTTGCATACTTTAACAGCCACTGTTTTCAGATATTTATTACTTTCCTAAGCCTTGATCCAATAACCAATACGTTCTCTAACCAAGGAACAAGAAAAGTAATATGGTGTACACAATTTGCACATTTATATGCAAAAAATGACCTGACAAGAATAGAAAAGGGGATCAACGATCAAGAAATAAGTGATCCTTGGACGGTTGGTGTAGATCGCACCAGCCATTGGGCCTTTGGTCCAGTGGTCATCTCAAGCCTTCTTAGGCTTGGTGGTGCGGGAGGTTAAAGGTTCGAACCTTGCCTCCCACAAAATTTGTCACAATACGTGACGGTCTTCATTGACCAGTTTCGATGGAGTTTCTACTCACATCGAGTCCCCTCCCCTTCCCCTCTAGAATAGGCTAGTTTAGGTTATAGGAATTCTATCGTGTCGACAAAAAAAAAAAAATGTAGATCGCACCAACACATTGGCATTAACCTTAAGAACATCTTCATTTTCACTGGATGAAGGTAATCCTCTTATCTAACCTCTAATCACATGAAGCCTAATAAGGAAGGGAAAAAAAAAGTGATCCAGCTTAAAAGCAGCCTAGGAGTTATTTGAAAACCCATTAAATTGGTTTAAATTGAAAAGAGGAATTAAAATGTCATACAAGAAGTATTTAGAAAGGAATTAAAAAGACAGAAAGAGTGAACAAACGGAGTCACAAATAAGATGTCAAGTCAAAAAATAATGAAAAAGAAAAAAGAAAAAAAAATCTCATCAGAAAAAGTTGATAATTTGAAATCATACCAGCCTAATGCATGTAGAATCACATGAATTACAGAAACCTTCACACTGCAACCAAAAGGCGCTCCACAGGCTCTGCATGATCTAACGGTCACTTTTTCAAACGCTCTTTTTCCCATCCATTAATTACTTAACTAGAGATTCTTTAAAACCATACGGCACCTAGGAAACCAACGGTCATTTTTTGACCAAACAATGCTCAAACAACTGCAACTTTCTGTCTGCTGGCATTTACTTACTAGTCAGTCATGTGTTAGAAACAAATCATCAAATGTATTAAAAGTTTGCCACGTTTACAAAATGTAAGCACCTAAAATATAACTGTTACACCGGGAAAGTGCATTAATATTTTCTAACTAAAACCTCTTCAAATATTTTTCCCAGGCCCCAAAATGGGGATTAAATTTCAAATGATTTAAAGAATTTGATCCGAGAGTGGTGGAAGTCGTCGGAAAAAGTTGACCGGCACGGAGGGCATGTCGTCTCGAAACCTTGGGTGGCGGAAATAATAGAACCCGGAACCGAAAACAAAGGCCCTAAATGGTACAACATAGAACACCAATGAGGCAATTAGGCACACTACAACAAAAATTCCAGTAGCCCTTGGATCTCTCCAGTTGAACAATGCTTCCAATCTTTCACCCTGTGCTGCCACGTCACCTAGAAGCGTTTGGGCCCTACCAGCCAGGGCCCGCAACCTATCGTATCTGACTCGGATTTGGTCAGTTGATCGTGTGGTCGGGAATCCATCAAACTCTTCATCGAGCTCGTCCGGTCCCACCGCATCCACATGGGATAATCTACCATCCATTGTGATTGCTACCCTTTGCCTATACCGGAATCTCAATGCTATGATCAAGAATGCATACATGCAAATTGTTGGCAGAACTAGGTGCGGCCACAATACAACTGCCACTAGCAAAACATGGACCAAAATTGTAGTGGATGGGTGCACCCAAGTTCGAATTCCGTCAAGCCACCGTGCAAATGTGGCTGCTCTAGACAAGCACCCGATCACCCGGAACCAGTTAGCCTTGCTGCGCCTCATGCTCCACATGTGGTGGTCTGAATCCAACATGAATTGAACCACTTCTTGACCCAAAGCCGGCTCGGACCGAGCCAATTTAGCTGTCACAATCTTCATAGCTGTGTGTCTCAAAATGTCTTGTTGGGCAGGACCAAAAGGGCGCACATAATGCATCCTAGGCAGCGTTGGATTTGCATAAGCTTGAATTAGACTAATCCATGATGAACATGAAAATCTCAATGCAATTTCAATCTCACCCATTTTCTTAGCTCCATTTGGAAGCAACACCATAAGAGAGTATGTCCCCATGGACACACGATTAGTATCAAGTGTCGAAAGTCGTACTCGTAACTTTCCTAAACGTACATCTTTCTTATCCGCTTGATCGTGCTTATACCTTCCATTATCAAACACTCCAATAGTTAACACTGTGCATGGATCATACACATCCCACGTGTATTGCTCGTTCCATCTTGGATTAAACCGATCGAGAATCGTACGGGTGCGAACCCACTTGGGCCCATACTTAGCCACCACATAGGCATCCGTCGTGCCACGAGTACCATCTCTAGTTTTCACCGGGAGTAGATTAGTGGCTCCTCTGAGACCAACTTCAAGCAACCCTATAGGTGGCTTGGACAGTTGCTTGGCTGTGGCTCTAACATCACTGGTCACGTGAGCAGCTTCATCAAGCACGTGATAGCCACCTTCCAAACACAGCCTCACATGTATCCTACCAGCATAGGGTTTAGTTTTTTCGTCACCAATCAAGTTAAACCACCTTGATCTCGGCTCTGATTTATCGTCCATACGCTTATCTATAGTCGATAGCTGCACCTTAACAAACCCCACTGACTGCCCATTGGTCACATCTTCGACTGTAATTACCAAAAATGGCTCAAACGGCTCGGCTGCAACAAAAATGAGATCCTCGTTCCACGTAGGAGTAGAAGAGGCCGAGCTGGATAAGCCAACACTGGTTCGGCTCGTTTTGAACAGCTGTGCTCCAAGCTGACCTTTAACGAAAAGTTCAGGGTTCCGAACCTTAGGCTCGGACCCTCCCGAACCTAACTGCAAATCCTGGGTTTGGATAACCGTTAGTCTCAAATACCAAAGCTTCGGAGACAAGTACACCTTGGCTCGCGTCTCCGGGATCAACCCACCGGAATCCGACTGCCAGGCTTCTTGAAACGCCTCGTCCGCCTGAGTCCCCAACCACACCGACAGCATGACGTCATTTCCTGGCGATGCAGATGCTTCACCCCCTTCTAGACTGTACCACTGGGGAGCTAATGGACTATCTGGAGGCACTCTTTTAGGTACTTCTTGCAAATCAAACGACACCGTTCCGAGGCAGCTTTCTTCAATGTTGCTCTTCTCGTTCTCCGCTGCTGCAACATTTTTCTCAGTCCAAACCGAGATTTCTAAAGAGGCCGAATTCAAGCCTTCTTTATCGAATGCAAAAACCTGATCCCACCCCTTGTCGTTACAGGCCTGGGATTTTGTTTTGATCGCGTGGGTTCCAATCACGAGTTTTGCAAATGCTGAAGAATTTTCTGGCGGATTAGTAAGCTTCACCTTGGTGACACGAACGTAAAGAAAAGGCATTTGATCCACGAGATCAAAACCAGAGCGGCGGTCCATGCTGCCGGAGAGAGCTTTGTCTAGCTTCAGTCTCATCATTTCCACGTCTTTCTCAGCCATGGCAGCCCTTTCCTTCTGGGTTTTTTGTGGGGTCTGAGACAGCGCAGGTTGCTGCACCTCTGGCGGTGGTGGTGGTGCCGGCGCTGTAGCCTCCGTAGCCGCAGGTGCTGCTGCTGTAGTTGAAGCATCCTTGCTCTCCGCTGGCTTCTCTTCCTCCTTAGCTTCCTCGGCTGGCTTTTTCTCCTCTTCTTCTTTCTTGTTCTCCGCTTGCTCGTCCTTCTTCTTTTCTTCTGGAGCAGCAGCTTCAGGCTTTTTCTCCTCTTCCTTCTCCGGTGGCTTTTCCTCCACCGCAGCTGGCTTTTCCTCAGCCTTCTCCTCCTTGGACGGCGGCGGAGGAGGTGCTGAGGGATTCTCATCATCAACATACCAAATTTTCAGCCCGATCTCGCCTTTAATCTGCGAAAAAACACTCCTCTTCTCTAAGGGATAGTAAATCAACGCCTCAGAACCAGCTTTCACAAAAGTACTCCCAGAAATCTTCACCTTCCCCAAAAACGTGCTTCTTTTACCCGTCTTCTTATCATTATAAACATTCAGCTCTAAAATCTCCGACCCCATGGACTCTGTATCTTGTACCAAGAACTCCAGCCTCTCATCCCATTGCGGGTTGAGATCTCTGAACTTGGTCTTGGTACGACGTCGTTGGCCGTCGAAATCCACGATCACATATGCACTCGCCGTCCCTTGCCCGTCTTTAGGCATCAGATTCTTTGCGTTGCAGACTTCAACTATCAGTCTTCTGCTGCAATTTTGATCGCCCATTTCTCTAACAACTGAAGAAATTTCAAATAAATAGATTATGTGGGATAATAGGTAGGAAATCAGCTATGGAATTTGATGATTCAGGATTTGAAGTTTTGGTTTGATTGATGAATAAAAGAATTGGAACAGAGCTTTGGAAAAAGTGGTCTGTGATAAAATGGGAAAGTGAAAGTAGTACTGATGGAGAGAAGTGGGACAATGAAGACTATTTAAAAAGCGTTGAAAGTGAGCGTGGTGTCTATACACGTGTCTACTGGAATAGGTAAGTATATTAGTACTACTAGTTAGTTTGGTCTAATTTGTAGTATTATAATTACAGATTAATTACGCAATTAAGTTCTTGATTTGGTGATAAATAGACTGAGAAGTTAGATATTTTGGATTTAAGTCTTACTGTGAATTATTTTTTTAAGAGACAAATCCCATACATGGAAGAGGAATGTCAATCCTAGATTTTATTAAAATAAAACCAGAAGAATGTTAAGTGTAAATCTATTTCAACTTATTTGTTGGTGAATGATGGAATGTTATTTATTTGTATTTTTTTCCTTTTTTGAGAAAAATAGTTGATAAAATGTAATTTTTAATTATTTTAATATAAGTGGGAGGATTCGAAACCGAAATTTCTTACGTATACTTTATCTCTCTAAACTACTTAACGCATCCCTCCCCATTGTATATAATGTAAAAAGAGGAGGAATGTTACGTATAAATCTAATTCAACTTATATGTTGGTGAATATTGGAATATTATTTATTTGTACCGTGTTTTTTCAACTTCATTTTTTTTTAAGAAAAAGAGTTTGTACATAATGTAATATGTTTGTACGAATTTGTAATATTTCGATATGCGTTGATTTCAGTTGTAATTTTGTAAGTAAAAGAAAAAATGGGTATATGTTAATTACTGTTTGAGTTAAATGAAAAGTATAGATAGCTAGATTTTACCCTTTTTAAATTCCACCCAAGTACAAAAAACATCATCTTGATTTATCTATATGATTGCCAAGTTTTATACTTATGAAGTTGAATTGAAATATTTCAAAAATATTTAATTATGAATGTCAAGTTTTAAACAAGTTTTTTCAAAAGTAATTAAAGGTTTTCCCAAAAAAAAATGACCAACATGAAATATTAATCAATTTTAATGTCTTACAAGGATTCAAAATTTTAGTATCTCTTTTGAATTGTAGCAAAATTTGAGTATCTCTTAATTTGACTCCATTTTCATTTTTCTTTCTACAAAATTTGGTTAGCAATCGTTATGCCTTGTCACTATATTGCTTATTTTAATACACGTGAAATATACACACAGCGTCTGACGCAAATAAGATAAAATAATGGTCCCACGTAGGCAAAACACGTAGGACAAACTAAGCTTCGTGGCGATTGCATCGGGTTGCGGGATTTGATGTGGACAAAAGGCATCTCTGTTTCAGAATAAATGTGGCAGTGGGCTAACGGATTTCTTAACGGAGCTAAAATAATCACGCTCCTGGATGCAGCGCTGGATACAGATTATCTTGTACTTCTCCGTTTAATTTTTTTTTTAATTTATATTCCCAGTTATGAAATGGTTAAACATCGTTTGGGAGTGGATGATTTGGAGAGAAAAGAAAGGGAAAGAAGAGAAAGTGAACATTTCCTTCGTTTGTTAGTTTTTATTAGGAAAGAAAAGAAGAGAAATGGAAGGATTTAAGAGGATAAATAGTAAATAAAATTTTTCCTCCCAAATTGGAGAGAAAGTTGGAAGAAGCTTATGAAAGTTTTTTAAAATACTTATTTTATCCTTAAAAATGTCTTGAACAAATATTTAATGACTTTTATATCCAAAATCATTCCACTAATTCTCAAAACTCCCAAACAACATAACAATCCTTTCTCTTCTCTTCTCTTTTATCATAACTTAAGTTTTCTCTTCTTCTCTTTTCTATCCTAAACTCCCAAACTTAGCCTAAAAGAAAATAAAGAAAGGTAAATCGTATTTTGCTTACGTTTTGGATGCCAATTTTAGTCTAAATATTATTTTACTTGAATCATAAATACGTTTTTTAATCATCTTTTTATCTTTCTAATCATTCTTTTATTTCACAAATATCACATTACAAAAATATTATAATAACTATTTCAAATAATATTTTAAATAATTTCACATCCAAACGAACACTTCCGTTGTTATTAACAACTTATACTCTTATTTGATTATAGTTATATTGTATATTATAATTATTTGCATCATAAACACATTTTTCAATTATCTTTTTATTTTTTCAATCGTTGTTTTATTTCATATGCATCATATCATAGAAAATATTATAATAATTATTTCAAATAACATGTAAAATAATTTCCTATCCAAACACTTATTATGAATAGCTTATTTTCTTATTTGATTATAGTTATGTCTTCTTTTGTATACTGTACTTTTATTGCAAATATATTCTTTTGTCATATTGATGTAAATGTAATTACTGCTAAGGATACTATATGGATGTGTAATTAAATAGTCATTAATTTTCTATGTGGAATAGTTTATATATAGTTTTCATTACTATATCAAAAACTTTAATCTTTTATTATTTGCTTCCATAATATGATGGTTATTTTTGTAGTTACAAATTAAGTTTATGCGCAATTATGTTGACAACCTGTTTTTAGATAGTTAGGGTAATAATAACTTTTACGAGAGTTGAAATAGGAGTTTAAAAAATGACAAATAATTTTTACACCAAATCCAATGCTCCTGCTCGATGTGTGTGCAATAAAAAAACCCTCATTTGAATTACTGGATATAGAATCCTTATTTGATAACAAAATTTAGAAGTGGTAAATTGAAAAAGTTAATATAAAAAATGACAAAAATGAAAAAAATTTAAATTAAGCAACTACCTGTAGTGATTGATTAATGAATTTCGTAAGAAGGACAAATTTTTTTCAAAACGTACTCTTACATAGAGATGAAATCATTTATAGGATTATTGTATCCAACAATTGGAGCCATCTTCAAATTTCTTTTTCAACAATTGGATTATTATAATTTTTTTATGGGAAATGTTCTTTGCACTCCGTATTTTGTTAATTGCACACCCACCATTTATTTTATCATATAGTTTAATAAATAAAAACCATGTGATAAAAATGATAGTGGGAGTGTAATTAATAAAAATTGGAGTGCAAATAACATTTTCCTTTTTTTTATTGTACTCTTACAATTTTTTATGACGTATATGAAAGATTTGGAGAAGAAGTTTTTTATGTGGGTATAATTTGTAGTTCGGAGGTTTTTTTATGGGATCGTGAGTTATTGTTTAATAGTTATATAATATAAGTATTTATCTTGGTGAGTTATTTAAAGGGTAAAAAAGGAATTACAAAAAGTGATAGCGATTATTTATACCAAATCTTCTGCTCTTGCTTTATTATCATAGAGATAGTATGAATAATATTTTCAAAACCAACTTAGATCGGAACATTAACGAAATAACCTTGAAATACTTTATTTGACTTTCAAATTTCTCATTTTTTCCTGTCTCCTTCTAAAGTTTGGAGTTTCAATTGAACTAAGACCTTATTTGGCAAACAAGTTTTTTGTCAAATTTGTTTGCTACAAGTTTTTTAACTACTTTAACTACATTAACCTCAAAAAACTTCTCAAAGTTTTTAAACTATACACTTCAAAATATCTAAAAATTTACATATTTCAAAATTTTTTTCTATAACTTTTATAGTAAGTTACAGTAAAGTTTTAGACAAACATAAAAAAAAATTCACTTGTCAAATGGGGTCTAAAAAAAATAAATGAAATACTTAATTAAGAAGGACAAAGATTTTGTTCAACATGACATTTTTTGTCATTAAGAATGAATAAATTATCATGTTTAGGTGCATGCTTGAGGAGCATTGAATTGAGTTAAAAAAATGAGATAAATAGTAAGTAGGAGGTTTTGGATGGAAGACATTCCATTAACGAAAAAATTAATTAAAAAAAAGGTGCGCACATGGCCTCTTATACTGTTAGAGCCAGAACAAAAGCGCACCACTTGCCTGAGTGGGCGAGAGTTGTGATCGGTGTTACAGTTCCTTTGTATGCCCCTGGGCACAGATCGGCTGGTTTCGGGACAACCCCAGTTGGGGCCTGGGTCGTGTGGTCGAATCTTGCTCACTACCGCTTCGAGGCTCTTGGGGGGCGGGGTCTCGGGGTGCAGTGGGGATTAGTCGGGGTGAATCCCGGATACCCCACTGTATTGACAAAAAAAAAAAAAAAAGTTACAGTTCCTTTGTATCAATTTGTGCTATTTTTTGTACTTCATCATATTGGATTTTGAACTTAGTCTTGTTTTTTCTTTAAATAAATAAAAAGGTCTCGTATAATTTCATATTATTTGGTCAAATTGAATTAAAAATCGGTCTATAGTATCATACTGTGGGAAGAAATATCATTCTATTAATATTTATACTTTGGAGAAAGCAATAGCATCAAGGAAAGAAAGCCTCCGTTAAGATTGAAGATAACAATCTCACATTAGAAATAGATCATCAATGATCAAGTTTTCTATCTAAATCCATTTCATTATTTTCTTTCCACCTTTTGTTTGTTACTTTCCTTTATCTAGCCTGGAGAGAAATTCTGTATGTTCAACAGAGTAATAACAAACCCTAGTTTTTACTACAGAAAAATATATTTCCTGTATAACTTTAACTTTGACAGCTTTAATAAGTGAACTTTTATTCCAAAAAAGAAATGGAAGAATTAAACGTACCTGCAATAATAAATTGTCACAACTGGATTCAAATAGCAACTCTTTAGAAGTATAATTTGTTGGTCATTTTGAAAATTCTATATCTATAATAGTTCTGTAAATTTTGATACTATTTGTATGATTTTGTTAAAAAATAAAAACTATTGCTCCAAAATTAAGGTTAATTATACCCTTGACAAAACTGTGGCACTGTAAAAAGAATGAGGAGAATCATGCCATAAACTCATAGACTCTCATGATAAAAGCATGGTAAAAATGCACAAGTGGGGTTCTTAAATACTCAATGCGCTGGTACTAACTCACAGAATACGTGACCAAAAATAAACATATTGGTAAAACACATGTCCAACATGTGTGAGCTGGTTTTTTGTTTTTAATGTTTATAGTTGA